AAATTATCCCTAGTATGTGTATGTATGAATGTGAGTTAGGGACCTTAGATTGTACACCCCTTGAGGGTTAGGGCCTGATGTGAATGTACAATATATATGTAAAGTGCTGCGTAAATTGACAGCGCTATATAAGTACCTGAAATACATCAGCTTTTAAAGCCTGTATCAAGCTCATATCTGCAGCAGCAGCTGTGAGTTTGATTTAATCACTTGCCTACAATGGCATTTATAAATGTACCTTGGTAGACAAGTATTTAATTTATGTAACCCTCAAAATCTAAACTATCACCTGAGTTTATGGATCGATGCTTACCTCATTGGCCAGATACTGCAGTGCCAATTTGCAGCCAACGGTAACACATTCCACACCATTGTTAAACAAAATATGAACCGAGCATCAGGCAGAGAAGATCCTCCACAGCAAAGAAGGACACTGAAAATGATCCGCACAGTGATCCTCTCCATGCATCCCCAATACTTGATGATGTGATCTACATGTCACATGGCCAACCACAGGAGACAACCAGGGCAGTGTCAGTGCTTCAGTTATTAAAATATATCTGAAGCCCAATTTTTTCTCTTTAAATACAGTAGGTAATGGTTAACACATTTTTTTTTCGCCATCCATGTTCCGTTTAAGAGATATTCTTTCATTTCCTGTCCTGAAGACACAACAGTAAAAACAAATCTCTCTCCTCTTCGACAGTTTGGGCCCTCAACACCTCCCGACGCCGAGCCCTCAACACACTCCCGACGCCGGGCCTCCAGCACCCCCTGACACCGGGCCTACAACACCTCCAAAAACACCGCGCCCCACGGCTTGTCCAGTCGCCGAACCACTGTACCCACCGACGCCGTGCCACAACACCCACGGATGCCGGCCTACAGCACCCACAGACTGCAAGCAGCCAGCTGCGGACCCAGCCGCCCACCACTCTCACTCCCCTCCTACAGATGGACACTGATGAACTCCGTCATGGCATAACAGACTCTCCGCATCCTCACGTCCTGACTGAAACCTCCCTCCTCCCCGACCTGACCAGCACTCCACTCACCCTAAACATGCTACCTGCACTCCTCCTCCTCGTTCTCCCTCTCCTCCATTCCCAAACTCACCTCCCCTCTAACCCCCCTACTCCCCCAAAACATTGCACCTTCACTTCTTTCTTCTCCCCTCTATGGCTCTCACAACCTCCTCCTGATACTCCACTCACCCCCGCCGACCCACACGCCACCACCAACACACCCCACACGCTCCTGCACATCCTGTTTCCCCCCCCCGCCACCTTCCTCACCCTTCTCCTAACCGCCAGGGACATCTCCCCGAACCCTGGCCCCCCCCTCACCTCCCCACTCCCCCTCTTGGCACCCCCCTGCTCCCGCCAGCCTCCGCAACCCCCTCAACCTCATACCTGTCCCCCATCCTCCCCGCATCCACCCCTCCTCTCTCGGTTGCACTCTGAACGCCCGTTCAGTTTGCAACAAGCTCACCGCCATCTACGACCTCTTTGTCTCCCACCTCCCTCAACCTCCTAGCGGTCACCGAAACCTGGATCCAAGCCACTCACTCCACCTCCCCTGCAGCACTCTCCTATGGAGGCCTCGTCTGGACCCACTCACCCAGCACCGAGCGGCCGCAGAGGCGGTATGGTCGGTATGCTCCTGCCACCGCTGAGCACCTTTCAGGTCCTCCCTAACCCCCCCTCCCTATCCTTCTCCTCCTTCGAGGTCCACTGCATCCGGCTCTTCTCTCCCACCCCCCTGAGGATTGCGGTAAATCTATCGACCTCCTGGTTCTTCATCCCTCTTCCTAGACGACTTTGCCCGCCTGGCTTCCCTTCTTCCTCTCCTCCAAGCTACCGACCATCATCCTTGGGGACTTCAACATCCCCATCAATGCCAACAACACCCGGCAACTTCCCAACTCCTCCTCCTAAACCTCCTCACCTCCTTCGTGCTCACACAGCATACACAGTCCTCCAACCACACCAATGGAAACACCCTGGACCTCGTTTTCTCCCACCTCTGCACCCCCCACGACTTCACTAACACCCCCCTTCCCCCTCTGACCACCACCTCCTCACATTCTCCATCTCCCCCTCCATTATCTCTCCCCCCCCCAAGCGTCAAACTATCACCCGTAACCTCCGCAACCTGAACCCGGCCCATCTGACCCGTCTGTACGACAGTATCCTCCCTCTGTCATGATGCCCTGACCTGGCCACTACTGTGTACAACGACTCACTGTCGGCTGCGCCCTCGACTCCCTGGCACCCCTAACCATGTGTAACATCAGACCCGACCGCTTCAACCCTGGCAAAACGACCACACGAAATGTCTCAAACGACGCAGTTGCGTGCTGGAGCGCTTATGGCGCAAAACCAGATCCCCCACACGTTCTCGCTCTACAAAGCCGCCTTTCTCACCTACACCACCTCCCTCCACGCCGCCAAGCAAGCCTATTTCATAACCCTTATCAACACCCTCTCCGCCTGTCCTCACCGGCCATCTTCTTCCACTTTCAAATCCCTGCTCTCTCCCCCCCCACCTCCACTCAGCACCTCACTCACTGCCCATAAGATTGACAATCATTTTCCAAAAAAAAGATTAACGCGATCCGTAAGGACATTGTCAACTCACATCTACCTCTCCACCTAGCCCCCCTCCCTCCATCACCATCACCCCCTTAAACCCTCCCCTCCTCCAACCCCATAGCCGCACTACCCCCCACTATACCTAACGCACACTATAACCTCCCCAACGCTCCGCTCCTTCAGCCCCAGCTACCACTGAGGAGGTCTCTAAGGTCTTCCCTGAAGCCCGCCTCACCACACTTGCCCCCTGGACCCTATCCCCTCACAGCTCCTCCAGTCACCCCCCGACCCCTCCATCATTCGCTCCCTCACCCACATCTTCAATCTCTCCCTCTCCACTGGCACTTTCCCCTCCCCTCCCCTCTAAAGCACGCGCACACATCACGCTCCTTCAGCGTCACCTTTAACACTGCCACCTCCCCCTCTCTCCCCCTCTCTGTCAGAGTCCCCCAAGGCTCTGTCCTCGGACCCCTCCTCTTCTCCATCTACACCTCCTCCCTTGGCAAACTAATACACTCCCACGGCTTCAATTACCAATTCTATGCCGACGACACACAAATTTACCTCTCCACCCCCACCTCACCCCCTCACTCTCCGCCTGCATCGCCCACCTCCTGAACGACATATCAGACTGGATGTCGCTCCATTTCCTCAAATTGAACCTCTCCAAAACCGAGCTCCTGGTCTTCCCCCCAGCCCGCGCCCCCCCCATCCTTTCCATCACTACTAGCAACGCCACCATCACTCCCACCCCACATGGCAAAGTCCTGGGTGTCACCCTGTACTCAAACCTTTCCTTCCAACCTCACGTCCAATCACTATCAAGGTCATGCAGGCTCCACCTCCGCAACATCTCCAAGATACGCACCTACCTCACCCCAGACACTACTAAACAACTCGTACACTCCCTCATCATCTCACACCTGGACTACTGCAACTCCCTTCTCACTGGCCTACCCAAACAAACACTATCCCCACTCCAGTCGATCCTGAACTCAGCGGCGAGACTCATCCACCTCACCAACCGCTCCACATCTGCCACCCCCATCTGCCAATCCCTTCACTGGCTCCTGATTGCCCAGCGCATCAAATTCAAATTGCTAACTCTGACCTACAAAGCCATTCACAACGCTGCCCAAAACTACCTAACCGACCTGATACCCAAATACCACCCTACCCGTGCCCTTCGCTCCTCACAGGACCTCCTACTTTCTAGCTCCCTGGTCTCCTCCTCCCATACCCGATTGCAGGACTTCTCCAGGACTTCCCCCATCCTCTGGAACTCCCTACCCCAATCCATCAGACTGTCACCTACCCTCCTCACCTTCAGACGCACCCTGAAAACCCATCCCTTCAGGGAAGCCTACCCCACTCTCACCTAACAACTGATCTCCTCCACTTCTCCCACCACTCCATCCCCCACAGCCATTTCCTCCTGTACCACTTTCCCCTCCCTCCTAAATTGTAAGCTCAAAAGAGCAGGGCCCTCGAACCCCTTGTGTATTGTACTGTCTTGTGTCTTGTTCTGTCCCCCTGCTATTGTACAGCGCTGAGCAAACCCTTTGGTGCTATATAAATACTGTATAATAATAATAATAATTTTGCTTCACTTTCAGTCCTAATGACAAAGGACTCCGGGAGATTTAACCTCCCCAGCAGGGACACAGACAGCAATAAAAACCAGAACAACATACTCAAAGAGGCACTGGGAACTGCTAGACTTGAACGTGTAGTCAGAAGAAGGAAGACCTCAAACAAGCTCAACAGATCTGGTGAGGTGGCTTCCACACAGCAAGGCTTTCTGGACTTTGATGGGCATCCAACAGTAGAACATCCATAGCACCAGAGCAGAACCAAAAAGTCCAAGATCATTTAAAAAAAAAAAATCATATAAAACCATCTAACACATTTTAGGGGCAATACTACTCTCCTTTCATCAAGGCTCAACACAGGATAAAATTTGGATGTACTCAGAGAAAACAGTGACTTCGCCAATCTATATTTGAACCAATATTGAGCTCTTCATATGGAGGAACAACTTGACAGCAGTTGCTGAGCGGCAAGTAAAAGACAAACAGGGGTTCTAACACCTCCTGACTCTATATAAATCTCAAAGTTTTTTTCCTTTAGATATACTTTAACAACAGACCATAAAGCAGGAATGGTGTTAAGCAAACAGTAGGTCCATGTCCATGCTACAACCAGTTGCTTCAATAGCCTCTATCTCATTGCTTGCATGGCTAGTCTGAGTAGGCTTGTGTTATTGGTTTGCTTGTTTTTTTCACAAATATTTTGTTAAAATACATTAACTTGCTATAATTAAACATTAAAATTGTTAACAGACATTGTGTGTAAAAGTACATTATGGATCATTACTATTTATGTCAATGTAGAGAACATACTAACCTCCAGCATGCAGGACAGCTGTGATAATTGATGGAAACCAGGAGGTTTCTTGGTTGGTTGCACTAAAAGATTTCTGGAGGTCCGTATAAAATACTCCAATAGATGAAGGAAATCCTAAGGTCATTGCATAGGTCACCATAGAAGCAGCCAGAACACACCATGCCCATGGTCCATCCGGGGTTTCCATTTTGCCTTTTTCCCCCCCACAGGCAATCTCCTGTGGTGTAACCTGCACAACGAGAAGATGTAATTACAGTCTGTACTAATCCATATTTAGCAAGACAACATTTAAATAAAATGTATCTGATGTGATGAAGTTGGCATCGGCTGTCAGACTAGCCCTGCAGGCGCGAGTCATCTGGCTGTGCTGTTATTGTGGATGGAGGAATCTGATTTTTTTTTCCGTGCAGTCTACAGGTCAAAGGAAAAAAATCTGCCAGTGTATGACCAGTATTCCTCAACTATGCTAGCGCAGAATACTGGAAATCTCTCCACTGTCAAATTACAATAGCTCAGCGGGGAGAATTCCCCCATCCACATCAAGTGTGTGGATGGGGAAATCGGGACTGTTTTTTTCATTCAACCAGAGGGTTGAGAAACTGACTCACTCTATGGGCTGCCTTAGATGCACTAGATTTAGACTTGTCTGACATATTAAATCTGAATTCAAGCCAACACTTTAAAGGCAGTTACAGCAACAGTTTTACTTTTTGAGATAAAGGTTTTAAATTATTAAATAAAAGCTAATCATTGTAGTGGTAAATAGTTTGTCTCAACCCTGGATGGCTTAGTTTGTTAGAGGAAGTTGAAAAACAACAGACTTACTGGCTGGATCACCGGGTGAAAAAAAGGAAAAGAAGCCTAAAAAAGGAAACAAATACAGCCACCACATCTAAGAATTGGTAAGCTGCAATATATTACATGTTCTTTTGGGTTTAGATGCACTTTAGGCCCAGACATTATTTTTATTTCAGGTACTTGTATTGTGTCATCAATTTTATGCAGCGCTTTACATTATATATATATATTGTACATTCACATCAGTCCCTAACTCACATTCATACATACACATACTAGGGCCAATTTAGACAGGATCCAATTCACCTACCAGCATGTCTTTGGAGTGTAGGAGGAAACCTGAGTACCCAGAGGAAACCCACATAGGCACAGGGAGAACATGCAAACTCCAGCCAGGTGGTGACGTGGTTGGGATTCCAACCAACAACCCTAGTACTGCCAGGCAAAAGTGCTAACCGTTTAGCCACTGTGCTGCCTGGTACCACAATGTATCTACTACTGTCATTCATGTTAGGTATCAATAAGATCATCATTACTTGTATTTACAGTATATTATATTAGGGAGAAAATACATTGACCTAGGATTAAACTTTTACAAATAGGTATAAAGAACTGCAGTCACACATATAAAGTTTCACAGACCAACACATTCGAATCATCGGACATTTAAAGTGGAGGATTTTGTGAACTTGCATTTGAACTTCTACCTACACAAACGCACTCCTGCCCGCCACCGCCTGGTATACATAAGCCCCTATACAAAGAGGAACTTGAACATAAACCTATAGCCAACAGGGTGGTTTTCCATACTCACTTCAACATACAGACCGACACCTAGAGAATTGCATTAATTGTCTAACTGTAACAGGACAAACATCTCCCACACGAACCTCTGCCATACAAACATCTCCCATACGAACATCTCCCATACGAACATCTCCCATACGAACCTCTCCCATACGAACCTCTCCCATACGAACCTCTGCCATACGAACCTCTGCCATACGAACCTCTGCCATACAAACCTCTGCCATACGAACCTCTGCCATACGAACATCTCCCATACGAACATCTCCCATACAAACCTCTGCCATATGAACATTTCCCATACGAACATCTCCCATACGAACCTCTCCCATACGAACCTCTCCCATACGAACCTCTGCCATACGAACCTCTGCCATACGAACCTCTGCCATACGAACCTCTCCCATACGAACCTCTGCCATACGAACCTCTGCCATACGAACCTCTGCCATACGAACCTCTGCCATACGAACATCTCTCATACGAACATCTCCCATACGAACCTCTGCCATACGAACATCTCCCATACGAACCTCTGCCATACGAACATCTCCCATACGAACATCTCCCATACGAACCTCTCCCATACGAACCTCTGCCATACGAACCTCTGCCATACGAACCTCTGCCATACGAACCTCTGCCATACGAACATCTCCCATACGAACATCTCCCATATGAACCTCTGCCATACGAACATTTCCCATACGAACCTCTGCCATACGAACATTTCCCATACGAACCTCTGCCATAAGAACCTCTGCCATACGAACCTCTGCCATACGAACATCTCCCATACGAACCTCTCCCATACACACATCTCCCATACACATCTCCCATACGAATATCTCCCAGACTTATGGTTCTCCATCCCTCCCCATTATAACTCAGGGAGTATTCTTCTGTCTGCATACCTCTGCAATCCAACACACCAGCACAACTCTGTGTACAGCGGTACACTAACACCACCGCATTACTTCTGCTGGTTGAGTCATCTCCTGGTCACACTATTCCTGGAGCCTTCTTCCTCTCTTCTACCTGTGGAGTTTGTGATAACTGTTCTCCTCCCTCTAAGCACGCCTGCAGAGCTCAGTCTGACCTCCCCTCCCCCTTTACCTGAATCCCAGGGACACCTGGCGTCAGGTAATCGTGACACAGCATCTATGCAATACAAGGGCGTAAACTGAGATCCGTGGTACAGGACAGGGCGTAGTGGACATCACCTCTCACACACAGTAATCAAGAGGGCACACAATCTGTCATTTCATCCAGTATTTACTAAAAGCAGCATTCTCCGGGACCTGTGTACACAAAACATGGATCAAGCCAACTGTTCGAAAGGGAATAGAATTTAAAGTCTTAGTCTTTTTATTTTTTGGGATTTTACCAGTTGTTTTTTTGATAGGGTGCTAAATCTGTACACTATATGTATTTACATATACACAAATATTTAATGCAATGACAAGCTGATCATACAAACAACTCTGATTTACCAAAACTTTGTAACATAAGGACCTACCTGATCTATCCAATCAGTTTGTATCCATTACATAGCTGTTGTGAGATCTAAAGGAGATTGTTCAATCAGATTTTGGTAAGCTTTAGGCTCCTTTCACACTTCTGTGACTCCAAAGTTGCATGCTTTCCAGTGCGACTTTGGAGTGTGACTTTACACTCTCTGGCACTCAAGTCGCAAGTAGTGCAGGAACCTTTTCAAAGTCGCTGTGGCTTTAAGTCACATAGATCCAAACAGGTGCCTTTGAAAACAATGGGCTGCAACTTGTTATGCGACTATGTCTCCAAAGTCGCATGACAAGTCACACAAGTGTGAATGGAACTTTATTGCCAAAAGTTTTGGGACGCCTGCCTTTACACGCACATGAACTTTAATGGCATCCCAGTCTTGGTCCATAGGGTTCAATATTGAGTTGGTCCACCCTTTGCAGCTATAAAAGCTTCAACTCTTCTGGGAAGGCTGTCCACAAGGTTTAGGAGTGTGTCTATGGGAAGGTTTGACCATTCTTCCAGAAGTGCATTTGTGAGGTCAGGCACTGATGTCAGACGAGAAGGTCTGGCTCATAGTCTCCGCTCTAATTCATCCCAAAGGTGTTCTATTGGGTTGAGGTCGGGACTCTGTGCAGGCCAGTCAAGTTCCTCCACCCCAAACTGGCTCATCAATGTCTTTATGGACCTTGCTTTGTACAGTGGTGCGCAGTCATGTTAGAACAGGAAGGGACCATTCCCAAACTGTTCCCACAAAGGTGGGAGCATAAAATTGTTCAAAATGTCTTGGTATGCTGATGCCTTAAGAGTTCCTTTCACTGGAACTAAGGCGCCAAGCCCAACCACTGAACAACAACCCCACACCACAATCCCCCCCCTCCACCAAACTTTAGACTTGGCACAATGCAGTCAGGCAAGTACTGTTCTCCTGGCAACCGCCAAACCCAGACATGTCCATCGGATTGTCAGACAGAGAAGCATGATTGGTCACTTTTAGAACATGTCTCCACTACTCTAGAGTCCAGTGGTGGCGTGCTTCAACTATGTGATCGTTCATTAAAATTTATGGACCCATATTTGTGATCCTCAGTGTGCTGGTGACATTCTCCCTTGCTGATTCTGTTCAAGCCAACGGTCACTGCAGCACCCACTTATACACACAGCCATTTTTAACGCAGGAACATGTGCATTTGGATTGTACACTTACATTCTGGTCATATGTAAGAGGACACTCTGATGGGGACACCTGATGTAAGGGAGCACTCTGATGGAGATAACTGATCATATGTAAGGGGCTACTGTGTTGGGGACAATAGATGTAAGGGGAGACTCTGATGTAAGGAGGCACATGGATGGGGACGCCTAATATAAGGGAGCACTTTGATGGGGATATCAGATGTAAGGGGACACTCTGATCTGGACCATGATGTAAGGGGGCACCTGATGTACGAGGGCAGTCTGACGAGGACCCTGATGTAAGGAAGCAAGCTGATTGTAACCTGATGTAAAGGGGGACTATGAGGAGGATTCCTGATGTAAAGGGGGACTCTGATAGGGACATCTAATATAAGGGGGCACAGGTTCTATTTAATTATCCTAATCAAATCATAGCCTAATGCAGGGCTTGAAATTTCCACTCGCCCGCTCGCCAAATGCGAGGGGAAATCCCTTTGTGGTAAGCACAGATGGAGCGAGTGGCTTGCAATGGAGCGGGTGGCTTGCAATGTGATCCCCAGGCCCCGAGGATTGATTTGCGTTCCACTTGCGCTTCAAGCCTCGTTGTGAAGCCGACTTCCAGTTTCCGACTTCCGGTTTCTTCTTCGCCGCCGCGGGGAACATGAGGAGAGGCCCGCTCTCCACGGCCTTGGGGGACACGAGGCCAGCTCTGCACCACCTTGGGGGACATGAGGCCCGCTCTGCACCACCTTGGGGGACACGAGGCCCACTCTGCACCACCTTGGGGGACACGAGGCCCGCTCTCCACTGCCTTGGGGGACACGAGGCCCACTCGACACCACTTTGGGGAACACGAGGTAATTTCATAAGCTTTAAGGGGGGCGGGGTTGGGGGCAGGGCTGG